TGTCTTTCATTTCTTGAATTTTAACTCCTACCACAACCTTACTTTTAGCTATGAACAGATGATCCCTGCTGGCCTCAAAACTTGCTGGTGACACATACTTTCACCTTGCTTTGCAGAAACTAACAATAAATTCAGGTCTCACACTTGTTGCCTATAAAACACAATCCATCAATTACCAGCCTTTAGGGAACTGGCATGTACTAGCATCATGGCTGATACAAGTAGGATAAAAGATGTCTAGCAAGTTCTGTGGTGAGTTTTGGGTTAGGGTAACCTTAACTGTAAATTTACCCCAAGCCGAACTCCTACTTTAATGATAATTCTCATATCACTTATTGAGGAGTAACTATAAGTCATAATGGCTTTTCCAAACTCTGTGAGACTTAATGGGTCTTAAGACATTTACGACCCATGCATTTCTTAGAGTCACAGAATGGTTTGGTTTGGAAGGGACCTTAAAGATCATCTAGTTCCAACCTCCCTGCCAGGGGCAGGGCACTTTTCACTAGATCAGGTTGTTCAAAGCCCCATCCAGCCTAGCCTGGAATGCTTCCAGGGATGGGGCATCCACAGCTTCTCTGGGCAACCCATTCCACTGCCTCACCACTCTTACAGTGAAGAATTTTTTCCTAATATCAAATCTAAACCCTATCAGTTTGAAGGCATTTCTCCTTGTCTTATCACTACATGCCCTTGTAAGAAGTCCCTCTCCAGCTTGTCCCCAGTGTGCCCCTATATGCTCTCCACGGCACCCTAGAGCCCCCCCTGTTTAGGCTTTGGCCATCTTACAACCCCTCTGTTTTTCAGTGTGCCCCTCAGCTCTCTGTTAGTGGTTTACACCCAGATCTTCAGTCTACACTCTCAAACCTAAGCCCAAATCCTAACCTGTGTTTAAGCTGAATAATTATGGAATGAATTTCAGCTGTGAAGTGGTAATGACTGAATGACCATCAGGAAAAATTGCACTGCCTGAAAGTGCTACCAAAGCTCATCCTTGAAGGTTTTTTGTTATGGCTCATGTAAGTATATAGTTAGGAGATCTGACTCCTGGGTACACAGGGGCTCTTTTACATGCTGGCCCTTGTATCAACCACACAAACCTCTTATAAATCCTAGGTTGTTGGGTTCTGTTTAATGAATAAATTGTGAGTTCTTTACAGTTTACCTTCTGCTTCCAGGAACTGGAGATAAAAGAACATGAAATTATTCAAAGACTCAAAAAAAAAAAGTAACACTGCTAACTTCCTTCATAGAACGTATTTTCAAGTGTTAGTACATTCAGTTTACATCTACTACAAAGCTGCTCTGTCCCACCAAGTTAGTATCTGAGAGAAAATTTTTAGGATAAATTATCATTTATATCATACCTTCTATATTCAGTTTAGATTGAAATTAAAAGAGTATCCATGTTGCCCATCATGTCATTTCTGTCAATACTAATTTCTAGATTCAAGTTCTGTTCAGGTTCCATGTTTTGCTATTGTAGCCCCCTTGGTCAATATCTGAATAGTTAAACTGGTTCAGAAATAGCCGCTCCATCTCTTGGCAGCATCTGATACAAACACTGCAGCAGTCGGCAGGCATGGAGTCGCACTGTGCTATTCACCCTTCCTGTTACTCCCGAAATCACCCAGGATAAGCTGTGTCTGTGACCTATTCCCCTCAAGGTCAGGTTTCACTCGGCTGCCCTGGCCATGTAGATGGCGACTGATGGTGCTCCAGGGACCAGTCATGAAGGAGATGCTGTGTTTGTGAGGGAGGTCTCACACACCAGCTGGCCCATTGAGACTCGGAGGGCAGGGCATAGTTGGATTTGGATTGCGTTTGCGCCGTGGGCTGCAAACACAAGTACCTGGTCAATCTTAAAATGTTACTCCTATGTATATTTCATTTTTGGGGAAAGGAACAAGTTGGTTTTTTTCAGAAGTAGCTTGAAATTTTTGGTCCCGTAGGTGTTGAATGTAAGGGAGATTACAACTTAAGCCAACAAAAAGCAATTAGAAGTTGGTTTTTTTTCACTCTGTTCCTTTCCTAACTTTATTCTGACCCTCCATATGGGGTCATTTATTTCTCACACCAGTTAGTAGCTCTTCCCATTTGGGGATTTGGTAGTTTTAGTGAAACATCTAAAGGAGAAGACCAAGCAAACTCTCTCCTTTTTTGGCTAAGAATGTTTGTTCTGCTAACATCTGAATATAAAAACAACCTAATACTTGGGGCAAAAGCAGGGGACATCCTCAGGGGATTTTTCAAAGAGTTTATCTCTCCTAGGTTTGTTTGAACTTTTCAGGGGAGACTGTTTAAATCTCAAGAACAGTTTTTTGGTTTGCATCAGCGTTTGGTTTTTTGTTTTGTTTTGTTTTTTTTCTTTGTAGAATAATCTCAAGATACAGTTTTTACCTAGAGGAATGGATGTATGAGACTAACTCAGTAATGGGCTACTTTCTTTGCTCTGTGCTTTCTTTCTTTCTTTCTTGCATTAGTTTTCCTCATTGTCCTTCCTAGCCCTTCACGGTCCTTCCTTCCTTCCTTCCTTCCTTCCTTCCTTCCCTTCCTCCCTCCCTCCTTTCCTCCTTATTTCTTTCTCTTTCTTTTCTTTGTCTCTTTCCTTCTCTTTCTTTTTCTTCCTTACCTTCTTTTTTCTCTCTTTCTTTTTCATTCTCCTTCTCTGTCCTTCTCACTTTCCTGTTCTCTCATATTAAAATTATAAAAAAAATTTACAGATCAACTTTTATTTTTTTTAGATGGCATGTGGTGGCACAGTTCTAAATTGAGATTTTTCCCTTGGATTTTAACATCCCCAAATAGATTTCCTACTCACTTTGTGTTTGTCTGTTTAAACTAAGTCTCTTGGTATTGTAGCAGCTCAGGACAACTTTCCATATACTGCCATTCAGTTCCCACAAGAGTTAACTCCCAGGCTTTCAGCTAGATTAGTTGGCCAGTTACTGAGTGATGCCATTTGAAGCTCAGCCTCAGATGATGAGCTTGGGACCCTTTATTTGGCATGCCTCAGACTTTTGGAGCAATGGGAGAACTGCACACTTCTTTTTGAGGGAGTCATGGTCACAGTCACTATTTGTTCTCCCTCTTACCAAAGGCAAATGGTTGGAGAAGGTAACCTTCAGCTTCTTCAAGGAAGTTCTTCAACAGCTTCAGGGAAATCTGAACAGATCATGGATGTATCCGGAAGCAGAGGGTTCTTTCCGTCCTTGTCTCTGAACGCTCTCATGTGGGAATGACCTTAGTAAGTCAAGAACTTTTTCCTTTTTGTTTTACTATCCAGAGAAAAACTCCTTTTATACAGTAATAGAAACCAAGAACTTTCTTGAGTATTTTCATACTTTGAGTCTTTTTTTCAGTCTTTTTTTGGTTTAGTATTTTCATTCTTTTTTTCCTTTCTTATTTGTTTTAACTCTTGAAATAGATAGCTTCTCTTTTCCTTTTCTCCTGTGAAGCTTTACTATACTTCCAGCAGTACACTGTTTGAGCTCCTTCCCTCTGCAGTTTTTGCAGAACATTGGTTTTGGGAGGCTTTCCACTCATTCTAGTCATTGTATTTACTGTATGTTGTATTCACATTCATTTCTCTATCACATGCCCAGCTATGCTGTTTGTTTTCTTCAACTATCTGAGATGGTGGCACGGTCAACATACAGGTGGGATCACAATTAACAGTTTTGTGGAGGTTTAGATGCCAGCACGCCCTAAGGCTTCCCAGGTTGTTTACTGAATGTGCTTTCTTAGACTATGATATCTTAAGAAGCTGTTTTGAAACCAGGAAATGCAAGGCTTATGAGAGAAAATTTATGACTGGGGTGAATGGCTCTGTTTAAATAACCACTGCAAAAGGTGCCCCAGTAAGACTTCTTTACCTTGCATTTGATGTTCTTATATGGGTAAATTCTCATTATGGCATGTTAACGAACAAAGTTTCTTATATGAATAAACCAAGTCAGCTAGGCAAGCTTATTGTCAACAATTACTCCCTCTTAACATCAGTAAATCTGCAAGGGTCTTAAATGTGGCTGTGTATCATCACAGAGGTAGCTGGGAAGTTAACAGGGAAAGGCGCATGACATATTTGTATGAAAATCAGCTGAAGCCAATGCTACTAATTCTCCATTATGAGATAAAAGGAGACATAGAAAAGGAGAACGTACCCCATAATTCAGCAAAGCAACAGTTAAAACCATTATAACAATGGGAGGGAACATGAACAACTTGTAATGATGATGATGAACATGATGTGATTAACATCTCCTTATGATGGTTTGGATTTATAATGTTCATAAGACACCTGCAGTTGTGCTAAGTGTTCAGAGTGTGTAAACATGGTTAAATTACGCTATGTTGTGATGAATGACATTTTAAGTGGATAAAAAATTGCTCTCTCAACTTCCCTCCACCTCTGTACTTAGGGGGAATACAATGCTGAGTAACTACATACTATTTTGATTTACTTATTAAATCCCTTTCTGGAAAACTGATGTCGGTATCAATTTTTTTCTTTAAACAAAAAACCTATGAGCCAAATTCAGCTGAAATACATATGTTTAACTTAAAATTAGTGCCATTAGTCTCAATAGAGCTGAACAGACCTCTCTGGGAACAACCTAGGGCTGTAAGAAGAGCCACCAAAGCTATTTGTGATGACTGTATCAAGAAACATTGCAATGTGATTGAAACACTGCTTATCCAAGAGCTCTTTGAAAGAATCTCATATGCTGACCCCATACAGAAGAAAGCTCAAGATTTCTGCTAGCATGATGGGCTTAGTGATCTTTAAGATTGCCAAAAGTAGTTCTAACTGGGTTTCAGCTAGCATCAGTATATCAAAACTGGTTTTCCTTTTGCCAAGGCCTTCAAGTAAGACCAGAAATTGAGGGTCCACAAAACAGAAAGAAAAGGGGGAGGGGAGGAGCACACAATGCTCACAGTATATTTTTATACATATTTACAGAAGGAAGAGCTGTGCTATCCAAACTTGAGCTTTCCCCATGGATGAGTCAAACATAACGTTTCATCCCAGCGAAGGCACAGAGAACATCTCAATGCACAGAAACATTTCTACACAGGAAAGGGTCTGGGAGATATTGACCCCACTTTGGATAATTATGATCATCTCCTTCCTGGGTTTTTGTGAAAATGGAATTGTCCTCTGGTGCCTCTGCTTCCAGATCAAAAGAAACCCATTCACTGCGTATATCACACACCTGTCCATTGCTGATATCTCCTTACTGCTTTGTACATTTATTCTGTCAATTGAGTACATTGCTGGTTTTGGATTTGCATATGGTTTTTACTATTATATCACCACCATACTATCTATCATCTTCCTTCTTGGCTATAATACTGGTCTCTATCTCCTGACAGCCATCAGTATTGAGAGGTGTCTGTCTATTGTTTACCCCATCTGGTACCGATGCCACCGGTCACAGCACCAATCGGCAATTGTGTGTGCAATCCTGTGGACTCTGTCTTTTCTGATGACAGTAGCCGAATATTTAACATGCAAAGATGATTCAACAAAGGAAAAATTCGACAACGGCAACCATTGCCAAGCACTGCTCATCTTCACGTGGATCCTGACTTTCATGATCTTCATTCCTCTAATGATTCTGTCCAGCCTGATCTTAGTTATCAGGATTCATCGTAACTCCCTGAGACCTCATTCGTCAAAGCTCTACATCATCATTGTCGCCACGGTCATTGTCTTCCTCATCTTTGCCATGCCTATGAGGCTGTTGTATCTTCTGAATTATCACCACTGGTCATCTTTGCTCAGCCAGCAGAACCACGTCACCGTCGTTCTCTCCACCGTTAACAGTAGCATCAACCCCCTTGTTTACTTCTTTGTAGGAAGCAGCAAGAAGAAGAGGTTCAAGGAAAGCCTCAAAGTGGTTCTTAGTAGAGCACTCACTGATGGGTTGCGGCCGAGAAGCCAGGAAGTTGGCATGAGTTTGGATATAGCTGAAACAATTTTCTAAAGCTTAGGGGCAAAACTCTAGGGGCAAATAATTGGACTTGGAAGGTCTAATAAACCACTGCAAAACTAAAAGTATTTTTCTTCCATAGAATGTAAAAAGCAGTAGTGAAATGGTATTGTTATCTTTGGTGGTTGAGCAATGGAAAAATATGGACTAGAATAAAGATAACTTTTATTTGTATTTTTTTAATTATTCAAACACATGCTACATCCTGATGTGACTATGTCAGTCAAAGATACCACAGTGGAAAAGAGACAGGCCAACAGAGAATATAAAAAAAGGACACAGAAATATGTTATAAATAGTGTGACATTTATACAAGCACCAAGCAGCCATAAATGCTATTGAAGTCATCAGGGCCTGTGTGTATTTGCATTTTTAAAAGTCAAATCCACTAAACACAGGATTCACGTTACATACTGGGATTTGGTTTCAACTGTTTCCAGCTTGTTGAAGTGCGCAAAAGAGCTGCTCCCTTGGGGAAACAGAAGAAGAAATCCACGTATGAGAATAAGTCCCCATACATAGCCAAGCACATACAGTGTAGCTTTGGTCTAGCAAGAAATCAAAGTATATATTAAATAGTCTAATTCATCTGCCTTTAAGGGGCTACTTCAGAGTCTGTTTTCAAAGTATATGTTGCACAATTTCCAGTGACATCAACATGTCTCTGGGTCCTTGGATAATTTGGTACCTGACACACAGGAGTTTCTGCCAATATAGGGATGTTGTCAACTCACAGAGGGCTTTTACCCTAATTATGAGGGGTGGGGTTGGCTTATCCCCAAAATGTCAGTGTTCCTGTAGGTTTAGTTATTCAAGGAGTCTGTAAGAAAATCAGTCCCAACATTTGTTGTCCCAGACACTTACTTAGTATTTATCTGTTCTCTGGAGAATATATATTCCCCATGTGTCTCTCTGTTTTATAACAATCGGTTTTGGATAAACAGAAAAAAGAAAGGTGTGCCTCACACAGTGAGTGACTGGACACAGTGAGTGACTGGGGCTACACCCCAGGAGCACTGTTCCAGCTGCCTGTCTCCTTCTGCTGTATGCCAGGGTACTGGGGTTGGTATTTTGTGGAATTTAATTCCCAGGGCCACTTGCCCAACTATAGCCAAGCTGCAGAGTGCAGAGGAAGACAACAGCAAAGAGAGGATGGGGCCAGGTCAGCTTTAGCACACAGAACATGGGAGGTCTGGGCAGTCAGAGTGCTGTGGCACTTTCGAAGAGACATATGTTTGCTTCTGGCCCCTGTGGAGCTCCAAATTCATCAGGAGCTGAGACCTCCCATCACAAGCAAAAGCAGCATCTTCAGCTTCCCGCCAAGTTTCCATTGGCACACTTAATAGCTAACTGGGGAAAGAAAAATACAACCTACCCCTCCTTTGTTGAAAGATTGCCAGTCCTGGAATAAGGAAGATGGTAGGTTAAGACCGAGGATTGGATGGGAATTCATGCAGAGAAGAGATCTCAGAAGGATAAACGTTCTTTCTGTGCATGTGCCCCTTTCTCCTTACATTAAAGTGTTTCAATATGCCATTGCAGAAAAGACTCGGGAGAAGGAAGAGGTTACCCTTATGTCTTCCTGAGTCTCTTACTCCATTAAGACCTTTATCTATGACAGCCCCTCTGCTTGTCCCAGTTTCTGTCCTTGAAACTCTAGTCCCAGGCTTGTCACCTCTGTTGATTCAGGTAGTAGGTAAGTGCAGTCTGCTACTCTCTTAGGGCAGAGATCTGCTGTACTGCTGGAATGTCACATCAGCTGAGCAGCTCCCCATTGCTGATGGTGAGTGCAGGATAGGGCAAATAGATCTGTGGACATGTTGGGAGGGACAGGGGGGAAAGAGTGATGTCCACATGCACATAATATGGGTGTGCATGCACCTGCTGGGAGCTGGGGGACTGTTGGGAAATTCGTCAGCACTGATAAATGCCATAAACTTGAATACTAGGATAGATCTAGCCCCCCTATCCCGCCAAAAACCCAGATCCTTCTCTAAAGCCATTCCCTACCCTTACCTCAAGACTCCTTGCAATAATCACATGGAGAACCAGAGAGAGTGGCAACATTGCAGGAAGCATGTTTAAGACATGCTTCCACTGTAACCACACATGTAACTCAGTTCTCTCAAGAGTGCTTCAGGTGAGATAAGGCATATTATTTACAGTATGTAAACATACCCAGATTACTATGCTAGGTTTGGGTTAAGGATCACTGTGCATGCAGCCAGGCACTAGAGCTGAAGATGCAATAATATGCAGCAGGGCAATCTGGATGCTTATGAGCTGAACAGGTGCTCTAGGACTTATGGCTTCTTACCCCTTTTCACCTGTGCCTGGCCATGACCTCAAATTTTGGCAAACTGTCCATAGATCTGTTCACAGAGCAGACAAAATTAACACTCAGCATGAGATGAACATCCAGAAGGATGAATAAGAATGAATATTTAACAGTTGAAAAATTACTAATGCTTCCCAATCCACAGATAAAAATAACTTACGGGTGTTCTTTCTTTTTTATCACAGCACCTGATGACTGTTCTCTGTGCAGACAGGCAAGGGGAACTAATAAGCATATGATTACATGATTTAAAAAAGAAAAAAAAAAGGCAAGATGAGGAAAATGTGACAATTTGTTGCACAACAAGAATGTGATTCTCCACCAGCTTGCATTTTGAAAAATTATTTGCATCTGTGGAAGAGGTTGAAATAACATTGCGCAGATGAAATGGTGTAAACACATTGTAGTGGTGCAGAACAGAAAAGATTGTCTTGAGGGTAAAGTACGAGCCGTGGAGTTTAGAGATGTGGGTTCTATTTTAATGCAGCATTGGCATCTAATTTTTCTGTTCCTCTCTTTCCTGACTATAAAATGAGCGTATATTATTTTGCTCCCAGTGTAGTGCCTCCACATTTACACTATAGATGCTTCAGAACAGCAGCTATCTCTTGGTTATCTCTTGTAATGTCCAGGTCAATTAGGACTTAATTTTGCAGTGCAGTCAAGACATGGAATTATTTGGGGAAGTCATGCCCAACATAGCACTTACTTTGTTAAAAGTCCCTTTACCAGACTTCTGATCTACTTGATACTAGTGAGTGTTGTGGAATATAAAAGTATGGCTAGAAATACAGGAGGAATTCACTTCCCTAGGCACAGAAGAGTTTTTGCTGTTGTAGCTATGACCTGGATGAAGAGGATGATATGGAGCAGTTTGCTGTGCAGGTTCAGGCCCAAAATGATGTGATGAGTTTATGCAGCAGCTTTCCTCTATAACTCACAGAGATGAGGAAGAAGATATTGCCCAGTTTACTTCTAGCCTGGAGCACACCCTGGGAAACCCTCTAAGGGAAATTGAAATGCTTCTAAGTTGCACTGGTTGCTGCTGTAGAAAAAAAACTCCCTCGCACCCTTTCCTAGCATGAGAACAATCTACAAGTGCACAATATTCCCTGGTAAAATGCCTCAGGTCACTTTGTGGGGGGAGGATAAGAGCAACAGTTCACTGCAGGGTTCTCCAAAAAAATACTAGATAGAACGCCCACAAAGTCCAGGAGCCCGTGATGTCTGGCTCTTTATGTGCACCGGCACTCCTTCTCAAGTTCTCCCACTCTGCCAGTCTCAGGGGGAGTGTAATCCACAGAATGGGTTTTGTAAGCAGAGAGAAGCAAGTATTTTTATGTATAGTCTACAAATAGATGTAAAACTTTTAAGAGCTATGTGCAGAAGATGAAGTGAACACCTTAGTGTCACCGTTCTATCTCAGAACAAAAAGACATTTGCTTAAATGCATTGGAGGAGGGTGCTCTATGCTCTATGTCATCTTTGGTCTATCTGGATTTAATTTTTGACTCAAAGAGTGACATATGTGTTTCAGATATAACTTTTTTTTAATATTATTTATAGGAAAAAAGTTCTCTTTGTTACAAGTGAAGTATTTCAAATGAATACATACTCTGAGCTCAGTGAAGATACTCAATTACATACTACAGCAAATTGTAATTATTTTGTGAAAATAAATGCATACAACCAGTAATTTTTGTTTTGGTTAATACTGATTTTTTTTCCTTCCTGGGCTTGGCCTGGAGTGGACCTCCCTGTAGCCAGAGGACAGGCTGAGCCTGTCAGACCAGTGTCTCAGCAATAAACATCTCTATTTCTAACCTTGGCATGGCTGAGGTCCTCTGTAAATATAGCTCTCTTCACTACCTATATTTTTATTATCTGCTCTCTTTTGTTCTTTGATCTGCTAGCATATACAGCATTTCAGTACAACACTGGCCTCTGTTTCTTAGCAGCATTCAGTGTTGAGAAACTTTTATCTGTACTTTTCCCCACAGGATTTCATGTTGCCTCCCAAAGCACCATTCAGCTACTGCACATGCCATCCTGTGGCTTCTCCCTCGTTTAATCCCTATAGCAGAAGACTTTAGGCCTACAGCACAGCTATTTTAAGTCCTTGGGCAGTCACAGTAAAATATCCATCTCTCAACTTTCTATCCATCCTGAGTTTCCTACTGTGTACTCCACTCATACTTCCCTTCAGTTTGATCCTTGGCATAAGGCTTGTAAAATTCTGCAGACTGGATGCCTCCTACCCTGTCTTCTCAGAGTCACTGCAGCCATTATGTTCTTCTCTTGGCCATGCTCGTGAGATCATGTACCTCCTGTAGCATTAGGGTAACAAAACACTGCCAAAAGGATTGAACAAGCTTTCACCATCATCAAACACAGTGTCAGTCTCCTCATTATTGCTTTGTGTGGAGTTGCAAGAAAAATAAGACACAGAAAATTCCTCCAAGCAGTTTTATGAAGCCTTCAAAGATGAATTACTGCTAGCTTGTCAGAAAGTTCCAACACCTTTTTCAGAGACCATGTTCTGAGGCTCAAGCACACATTAGAACATTGTGAATGTTAAATGCTAAGAAAAATAATATACAGAGAAAAATTTTTTTTCTTGTTTGGCACAAACCTTCTATCCTATTTTGGATGAGAA